TTTGACATTTGGTAATATGCATTCGGAAAAAATGGAAGTGGGAAAAATTTTAAGCGCTATTATCAACAATAATAATAAAATTATATATTTTATTCGAAAAAAGAAATTATCTTTGCGAAATGCAATTCTTATGTACAATTGCTTGAAAAGAAAAAGAACTTTGTTAATGCTTAACAAAAAGAAAAAGAAATACAGGCGTTTTTGGACGTGTGTGAGTATTGTTATAAATAAATACATATGTGCATACATAAAAGTGGTTGTTATATGTTCATGCCAATAAACTCTTCCAACAGGTTGAAGCATCCACATTCTGGGAGGTTGAAGTTCCGAAACTAGACAACGAAACCTATAAAAACAAGTTTCGTGTAAACAAAAGCCAGGTTTGATTACCTCGTCAAGTCATTGGAGCATTTGCGTAAAAAATTTCTATTTCGATTTATTCAGTCTATGACATGGTATATTTTACAGACTAGAGGTATATATACAATTTTCTTAAATCTAATGTATACGCAGATGAAAACCCTTTATGGAAAATTAAAAGTAACGATACGGATCATCTATGGCTGACTTAAAAACAGATCTTTGTGATGAAAAATCAATATTTAATTTTTTTGAGATTGTATTATACTCTAAAAGCGCTCTGAATATTGGTGCATGAGAAAAATAATTAGCTGTGGCTACAGGAAGATAAAATGGTTTGTGAAATCGAAGAGCTTTGCTGGGTATATTAAAACTAATCAACCCTAGAAGTTCGGAACAATCAATGAATCCATTAATTACATCGTAAAACATTAGAGACTGAATTGATCTTCTATTCTCAAGTGATTTTAGGCTTATTAACATACAGCGAGCACTATATTAGGGCAGCGGCTCTTGAAATTTTATCGATTGAAGTGCAAAGCGAAAAGATACCTTTTGGAGGTATGCAATTCCATTGGAAAAAAGGCTGGGTATAGCTTTGTACGCATTGGGTTCTTCTTCGGATTATCGAACTATTGCTAGTTTATTTGGTGTGAGAAGATCCACCGCCGGAGAAATAGTCCTTGATGTTTGCCGGGCCATATGTACATCTTTGATAAAAGTGTCTTTTGATGTATAGCCTCCAACAAATTCTAAAATAACCGAAATTGTATCGGGGTTTGAGCGTTTGGGATTTCCACAAAGCTATGGAACCATTGATGGATCTCATATTGAAGTGCAGCCCAACAAAAATTAAGCTATTGACTTTCATAATTACAAGGGGTGGTACTCTATATTACTTTTTGCAAGCGTGGATTAGCGATGCTGGTTTACGTATATAAATGTGGATGCACCTGGACGAATAGCAATATTTGGACGATTCAGCAATATTTGAAGCGTCGAAGCTGAAATCTATACATGAAAATCATGAAGCATTTAAGCGACATACAAAAACAATTGAGGGCGTTGAAGTTCCTGTTTTGCTTATAGGAGAGTCAGCATTTAGGCTGACAAAATTTGTAATGAAGCCCTTTCCTTTTAGTGCTGATCAAAACGAAAATGAAAAGATTTTCAACAAACGTCTTTCTTCGTGCCGTCGTGTCGTAGAGAATGCGTCAACTTTAAGCTAGGTTTAGAAGAGTTGGGCGAGGCATGGAGATTCATATGAAGAACGTCAACGTTGTTGTCAAAGCTGCTTGCATTTTGCACAATATTTGCAACAGTAATAATGACCATATAAATGCAAATTGGATAGAAGTTTTTAAAGATAAGGTACGACAACAACCCCATCATGCTTCTAAGGAATGCTTTGATGATCCATTTTATTAAAATTAAGTTTATTTGTATATTTACTAATGTATGTGTATTAGTCTTCGTTGAACATATTTTTAATAAAATACTAGCAAATGCTTTGGTGAATGCAAAAACAGCGCTGAAAAGCAAAAACGTATACATCAACCTTCTCTGTGTATTTCCTTAAAATCCTTTCAAATTTCGTTTAAATCTGTGTAGTAGTTTTTACGCGCACAAAGAAAACAGCAAAAGTTTTACTGTATGAGGCGTGACAATTCCCACCTTTCCAAAATGAAGTATAACTTGATCTAAAATGCACTAAATGCCTGAAATAAATATCTAAACGCCTGGAGGTGCGGCACCGCCCACTTTTCCCAAATAATATATATGCTACTTTTCCCCTAGGCCTATAAAAGACACACACACATTCATTTTTATATACATTTAAGATATTAGTGGCTATCACAGATCGTAGTCCGATTTTTCGTGAAATCTACGAAAACGCGATCACTGAATCCGATTTGCTACGAACGTGTATATTCTAAGTATACGTACGGTGACCATCCGTCCTTTATTTTAAAGGGCAGTCCTTTATTTTAAAGGGCAGTCCTTTATTTTAACCCCCTGTCCTTTATAATTTTTGTCAAAATAAAGGACGCCATTTGTCCTTTATTTCTTAAATTGTACTTTAAATGAGCTTTGGATTTTGCAGAGGTCAATTTTTAAACAGAGAATATGACAAAATAAAATTGTCCCTTATAAAATATAATGAAAACCTTCGCTAGTTTCTTTCGCACCCCACTTAAGGGTTTTATTTAATCGGTAATCTTTGTACAATCTATAAATCACGAATCATTGCTAATACTGGTGGGGGGAATTTTAATAATTAAAAAAAATTTATTAATATTTAGACATTTTCATAAAAAAATTAATCTACTTTGAGTAAAATTCATTGTTCACAAAAGCACGCTGAGTTTCCAGTTCCACTGATAAAGAACAATAAACCCCCGCTGGCTTTGTCGTGAAGTATGAATAATGATAAAGGCATTTTGGCAGCAAAGGATGGCGAAGTCCTTTATGAGAATTTGGTTTCATTTTTCGGAATCGGTTAAAATCCGGTTACAGTGCCTTTCGAGAAGTGGAACTTGTGCAATTAAATAATATAATTAACTGGTAAATATTTGATCTAAATATGCTTGAGGTACTTGTATCATACAAGTTGATGTACGTTTTTCCAAATCATTTTGAAAATATGTCCTCTATTTTACGTTGGTTAATATGGTCACCATAAGAATACGCTACGTTCGTAGCTATTCGAATTCAATGATAGTATTTTCGCAGATTTCACGAAAAATCGCACTACGATGGGTTTTGTGGCAGCCCTGATTAGTAGGATGCACTACGATAAACTATTTCCCGATGACGGGCCACGACCTTTTAATATTTCCAACTTTGATGCAGTAACGTGCCGTTAACAAAACGTCTTCACAAGTTACGCTCCTGCCACACCGCCACATCTTTTAAATCAAAGTAAATGAATTTACAACACAAAATGAACTTTTAATTCATTTAATTTCTTCACGAAAAACAAAATACTTTTTAATTTTAATATTAACTGGGTAGATCCCGGTCGTACACATCGTGTACTATACATAGGGCTGCCAGATATCTCTGTTGCCAAACCGGGACACTTAAGGGGGGGAGAGGCCTCTCGCTCCCTTCCCTCCCGTTTCGACAAAAATTACGTACAAAAGGATGTAGTAAAATTTTATTTTGACAAACAAAAAAAAACATAAAAAATGAGATCATGAGATCATTACAACGTACACCAGCAAAACAAAACAATTTATCACAACTAAAGCCCAGAGAATTTTTCACAATGCATGTACCTTTTTTGTTCCTTATAAAAATACAGTTTATACAAAATACATCAGAAAACATAAAAATAAAATTTATAAGCTTTGTGCAAAACTCGGGAAAATGCAATAAATTTGGATACAAATTCGCAACTTTCTATTCAGGCTTTTTTATAAAAATTTTGAAAATGAAGCTTTGCAGCCCATAAAAATTTAGTTGATTTTTGGTATTGCTTTTACTGAGAGTTTCTTCCATACAAACTATGTTCGACATTTTTTTGTATGTGGAAGACACTGTCAGCCAAAAATAAATAATTGCAAAAAATCAACGAAATTTTCTGGTAACTTGGGACTTGCACTTTACTAATTGGCTCAAAAGCTACATTTTCAAAATTTTTCTAAAAGATCTGATTAGAAATTGTGATCAGATGAAAGAGTCTCCGAGCCAATAATTTTGTACGGCACGGTACTTATAAGTAATCTAGGTCTCACGAAAGAAAAAAAATTAAATACAAGGTAACATTAAAATATCAGTCATTTGTTTCGTTGCTGTGAACTTGTTTCAAAACTTCTGACTTTTGCTTAATATACTTGTAAAACTCTGTGCATGTCATTTTAACGTATTTAGGTACATACTTATATTAATCATTTACTATTGCTTGTGCAAAACGTGCTACATTAAAAAAAAAATCGCATATGAAAGAGCACCAACCCAACTCGTAATAAATTTAAGTATACAAATTTTAGTATTTAGTATAGAATTATGCAATTGAAATACGCCAATATTAAAATGAAACGCTTTGCACTTAAGGGATGCTTTTTCATAAATAAGTTAAAAAATATTTAAATTCCATGCTGCCTGTAATGGGATTTGAACCCTGACGCTCTGGAAATTAGCAAATTGTGGCAAGCATCTTCGTGCATTCAGCTACAGCCAGACATGTAAATGTGCATTCAAATGTTCAGTTTGATTCAACACCACGTGTGCGTGTTGTTTTTAAATACGAAAATTTTAATATGATAATCAAATAAAAAATATTCATGTTTACTATGCGTTATTTCCCCCAGTAAATTCATAAAATTTTTCTTAATATTACAACGCGTTTTATCTCTCAGTGTAGTCATTTTTATGCAAAATTTGTGCAATCAAATGGAAAACCGGGACACTTAAACGAAACCCGGGACATTTTAAGGTTGGACCGGGACACCGGGACAAATAGTCTAAAACCGGGACATGTCCGGGAAAACCGGGACGTCTGGCAGCCCTAACTATACAACTTATTTTTTTATAAGTTCTGGCAGCAATTTATTATTTTCTTGCAGCAATTCAATTGTTTTTTGATCATTTTCCAATGTTTGTTTTAAAAAATGTTCAATTATTTTTTGGTCTTTTTATACAACTTCCAAAATGTCGGTGTCTGTTTTTTTCTTTTTAGCTGAGCTTGGTCCTGCCAGATTACCCGGTGATAGCGATTTATCTACGGAAGCCGTAGATGGAGGCATTGAGAAAGATGGAGATGAAGGCGAAGTAGAGTATGTCGAAGATGGAAGCTGTGCGGTGGATGCCGAAGAAATGGGCTGATTTTCGGGCACCTGGGGTATAACTAACTCTTCAGTCTCTATATATAAGCACTCTACTGGCACGAATCCGGATCGTCGACGACCCAATGCTCTGCAAATAATATACATATCTTTAAAGTATATGTCGGCATACGCAAACAAAATAAAATGTACACAAACCTGCGCTCTCGTCCATCTGCTCTTTGTAATTTATAGATTTATATGTACCAAGAATCTGGTGGACTTTGTTGTAGTATTGCCATAGCAATGGGCTCTCTCCACCTGTCCCCATGTTTGTTCTTTCAATACTGAAAACACATTGACTTCATTGAAATGTATTTGTTAAAAAACAAACTAGCATAGTTACCGATATTTTTGGTGAGATTGTTTAGCCTTGTCCGTAATTCACGAGTATTTAGCAAAATGCCATACTGCGTTTCGAGTTTGGTGCACTTAGGGCCGTTTGCACCATGTCTAGTTAACGCTAACTGGAGGTACATCCTTCAGTTAAGCACGTTAACTGCTTTATCGATCACATGTTATATGATGGGTGTCGATAACGTCGATAAAGATGTTTAACTGGGAGTTTGAATTAACTAGACATGGTGCAAACGGCCCTTAGTAGCATACACATGAACGTTTCTATGAACGCCTCTCAATTCATGTATATGCTCCTTCCAAACTCCAATTAAGCAATTTATTTCTTTTGTGCCTAGCACTTTCCTCTTAAATCTTGCAGACACATGTCACTTGAAGCTTTGCAGCTGTGTTTTAGGTCAGAGCTTTTAGTTTAGCTGTGTTTCATGGTATACTCGCTTTATACCACGTTCATTTTAGTAATATAGGAACCAGCATTAAACCACTTTGCATGATGGTATAATTGTGGTTTATATTGACAGACATCTTTACACACATATGTATGCAACTATATGCGAAATAATGGCAGTGAGACATTTTGACCAGTTTCGCCTATTCTTTTCATTGATTATTTTTTAATTGATTTTATATAAAAGTCTTATTCTCAATTTAATAAACACAATATATGTACACAAATCGGAATTTCAAATTTTGTACAAAAATTATAAAAACTCAGCAGGTTTTCGTAACAAAATACTTTGAATTCAGAATTTTTAGGGAGATTCCAAGTTTTCGATGTTACGCATTTTTTTCATATAAAGTGTGTTCGAAATTGTTTTAAATGGATCAAATTGTATGTCACCGTCAAAAAACAAATATCAAAAATCATCGGGATATTGCAGAAACTTGCACTTTCATTGAATGAACTATAAAACCGCGAATTCAGCGGTTTGCAAATAATTCTCACAGCCCTTATTTTATTTGTAAGTGCTTTTAATTTTCACTTTTTGTAATTTTTAATCTGTAATGTGGTATGTAATTTTTTGTTATATATTGGCATTTTATGCTAAACTTCTATATTTTATGATTGTGCCAAAACAGGATTAAATGTGCCAAAAGTGCCTCTGAGAATGAAAGGGCCAAGAAGGCACTATTGTGCCTACTTTTCCATCACTGGGTACAAGTGCTTGATTGTATCAAATTGTTCGAATCGATACAAAAATAAGTTGCGTGTATACATATGTATATATATACATGTGTGCGTATGTACGAACGAACATTTCCTTACGCTGCAAGAATTGTTTCGTTACTCTGTTATGGGTTACTGTTCGCCGCACAAAAAAAATATAAATACTTTATTCTTCGGCGTATAGCGCACCCGGTAGCGTGCCATAAATTTCACCATCTAATAATTTTTTTCTAGAGCGTACGGCAACACCAAAACTGCATGGAAGGTCTGCCATTTTGCGATAGCTGTGTTCCTTGCGGATAGTGTCGCTGATTGGCACTAGTTCCTGCGGGTCTGTTTGCCTACTTTTTCGGTTAATAAACGCTTTCCCGCGGAGGCTGGTGATAGTTGTGACAGCTGTCTGTAACTGCCCGTCTTCACAGGATTGAGTTTATATCTTGACACAAATGTTAGAATATAGAGAGCAATATATGTCTGGGCTGGTATTTTGGCATCTTTGAGGTGACATGGTAGTTTGACAGCTACGTTTTCCTTTGTACTAAAACATTCTGGCGGTAACATTATCAATATTCTGATATAGAGCCAGTGGCAATAGGTAACTTTTTCGGCATGGTGTACGAATAAATTGAGTTTTGCTGTGCCAAACGCAAAGACAAATTTTGACAGTTGGAAAACACCACACAAACGCTCGTGCAGAAGCTCTATTTTGTGTGTTGCTGAAATTGTTAAATTTACATCTATTTTATAACTTGCAAGTAACGTACGATTTTTTGTTTTATCAGATTCCATTTTGATTTTCATTCTTTATTACCGCCCATAATATTCTGGCTTATCCTGAGTTTCGCCCGGAAATTTTTCATCCGCCCATAGTAAATACAAGGAAACCAAAAGTTGAAAAGTGAACCGGTTCGGAAAAAATGAAACTCATGATAAGGCTGATTACACTTAGAAGTTGTCAAATTTTACGTAGCACATGAGCTAAATAAAATTCTGACGTTCGTATTCACCACGGAACTGTCAAATTTGTAAACTATCTGTTTTCAAATTTTTTTTTGCGGTTAAGTCCGGTAAAAATACTTGCAAAGGAGTCACGGCAACCCCGGATTTTTTATTTGATATTCCTCCTTGCACTGCGGCAATTCCATTTGGAAGAGTAGCGGAACTAGTCCAAATGAAGCAGTGCCCGTTATTCTTCCAAATGGAATATTCTCGCCGTGCAAGGGTATAAAAACCTGCTGGCAACCCCACGGTCGGCCATGAACCAATTAGAACATATCTGACCGGTTGAGAAGCAGCCATTTGTAATAGCAATTGAGAAAAAATTGTGTGACGTTCGTAATTTTGAAGTTTGCTATTTCTTTTTTGTTTCTTTCTTTCAGAATCGCAAATGTTTTGCGTTTTACTTTTCAAATCGCAAAATTACGTGCTCCAATATTCGCAAATCGGAAAATTTTTGCGGTTTCAATTCGGTTGCCGATGAGACGGTGGAATGAAAAGTACATGGCAAAATTTACTTAAATAACAAGCTAGCTTAGTCTAAATTTATTTTTGATTATGCCCATTATTTTTTGCGATATTTTTGGCGTCCTAAAATTAATTTTTTATGTTGATTTTATTTGTTTAATTCACTATTTATTATACACATCTCCGTTTTGGGCAACGAAAATTTATCGAAGCAACGAAGATTTACGATTTGGTGCGGACGATACATGTGCGATAATTGTTTCATACCTTCAAGGGATGGCTTTTAAGAATGCTGGAAACGATGTGGAAAATGGAACTTATCGATAATAAAAAGTTGCGAATTCAGAAGCACCCAAAAATAAAACCGTACGATTTTTACAAAAACGCAAATCGCAAAAGTAAGTGGAAATGGGAGAACGGCTGTTTATGTGTATTTTGTCGGTGGTTTATTACAGTGATTTTTCAGCGGGGAAAATTTTAGTTTGGTATCCCCCGCGTACAAAAAAAAGTTGGATATGGAGGGGGAGGGGCGGGGGGGCGGTAGGGCGAGTTCTCCTGATTGCAAATATATATACTTTTAGCCGCAGGAGGCTTATAGTTTTTAAGTTATTTGTTGTTAAAGTTTGTAAATTGAACTAACCTCTCGGCGCTATTTCACACAATAAACACTATATACACTTCGGAAAAATAGTTGCATTAAAACCCCGCACAATAAAATATAAACATATTTTTTACATTTATGATGTATTTTTATTAAATTAAGTAAGTTTTTATAATTTTCACGCACTTATATATGTATACGCACATTGTAAATACAGAACTGTTGATTCAACCATGGCTTCACACTGACATTAGAAGAGTGCTGCCACATCTAAGAAAATAACAATAAAAGAGAATAGTTTTTTATCGTACCCGTTTTCCTGTTCAGCGTTGAATTAGTAGTAAAGCAGGGTATGGAGTTAAACACCCGCGATTTTTTATTACAAATTTTAACTTTTTACAATATGGTTCATTATGCTTCGTATTCATATTCTTTGTTTACTTTTCACAGAAAATAACATGGCGCCGAAATTACAAACGTCAGCCAGAAAAATACTTTTTTCGGGGAAACTTTCCATTATGGCCGTTCGTTAAAGGTGCGGTGGGCGAAGGGGGAGTGGGCGTGGCCCCTCCAACCGACCATTTTGGAGAGGGCATGAACCACCATTGACCTCAGACCACCTAGGCCCCCTATGGTTCCCTACGGACCCCTCAGAAAAATGGCCAAAAATCGCAATTTTTACTTGCGTCCACAGTATTTTTGCGAAGAATTTCTTTCTGTGTAGGCGGCCCTTACTACGTAGAATTCTCCTTTCTGTGTGCACCTAACTGGGGCTCCCGCCCCAGTGATGTAACCTTGGGAAAGGATGAGGTAACTAGAATTCCCTTTCTGTGTGGTAAACCTGGGGCTGCCGCCCCAGTGATGTCTATTTTGGTTACTGGGTGTTTTATAAAAATGTCTTGTATATAATAATATATAATGTGTATATAAAAATGTATTGTGCAAATGAATATTTAACATTTTTCAAGCGAATAAACGCAAATGAAAATTGTGATTTTTGGCAATTTTTCTAAGGGATCCCTAGGGAACCATAGGTGACTTAGGTGGTTGGGGGTCGCATTTTTGTCAATGGCGGTTCATTCCCTCTCCAAAAAGGTGGGTTAGAGGTGCCACGCCCACTTACCTTTCGCCCACCGCCCCTTTAACGAACGGCCATAAAGGAAAGGCAACCCCTTTTTTCTTTTGCTTCATCTTGTCAGATCTTGTGTAGTTGGATCATGACGGTCGGTCATTGGTATGGCAGACTCAACAAGTAAAGTGTGGAACAGTGAATAGTGAAACACAAAAGACAGAAAATTTTGTGAAAAATGTGTACATACGCGAGTGAATTTTACAAATAGTTGGGACACGAATAATTATTAGTACTCGGGGTACGGAAATCGGCATTAAATAATTAAAGTGTAAAGAAATTCTGTCCATTGGCTCCGGCAAATTAATATTTCTTTAGTTTTTGGGCGAAACGAGTTCAATGAAAAGAAAAATTGTGCAAACGCTTTTGGCGAAGTGCCTGGATTAGGGGGAAAGGCCTAACATTTAATACTTGTGCGAAAGTGTGTATTTTTTATGAAACTGGTTGTTCTGAAGTTACGGTGGTTGGACGAATAAATATCGTGATTTGCAAATCACGAATTACTATAAACTACCTTGGAAATATCCACACAAATACAGCTATTCGCTTTGATCGACCGGATTGTGCAAGGGATACAACACCACCAACCAAGAGCGTCACCGCAGCAGTTTAACGCTAACCACCACCACCCGGCACAAGCATCTAGCACGTCACACCATCACCTTCATCAGCAGCAAGCAAGGTAGGTATAATCATCATTAGTAAGTGT